TGCCCAGAAGAATGGATCCAGAACAGTAACTACCATGTTGGTCAAATGGCGTTTTAATTCTTGGCATTTGGTGTAGTGGCATTGCATACGCGTTGTTGAAAAGGACACTTTGTCCGTCAGAATTTCCATTCTGCTGTATTCGCAAGCACAAATGCATGGCTAAAATTGGTTTGAATCGCATACCGATTCATGAATCAATATGTGTCAAATCGATGCCACAAAAAGATTCGGTTGTTTAGAAAGCAATTCTACGGTACTTGTACTCCATGTATGTACGTCTCGGATGGCTCAGTAGGGAGTGCGCCTGAATGGATCTCCTGCATTTAAGCTGCCAAACTGTTAATGTGCTGAGAATTGTGATGAACCTGAAAAATTGAGTAAGTCATGTTATATTTTTGCTGTTTTGTAATCATTTTTCTGTTATTTTGAAGATTGTGCCGACTCTACTGCCGTTCTTCTGGAGCTCGCACTGAGGCATAAACAACCGCATTCTATGAAACCTTTTCAGATGCAAGTTTTCCGTGCACACCAGAATGAACAAAACTGAACGATAACGTACAAAATGCAGCAAAAACGTGGGGATGAACACCAACCTGCGCAGCTCGAAATCACCCTTGTTGAAGAAGTCTTGCTCGGGGCTTCCCACAACATACTCCAGGAACACTTTTGAATAGTCGAATTTCAAAACTTCGTTTCCCTTGACATCCGTAGGAGCTCCTCCCGTCTCTCCGCTCTCCTCTTGTGGAACCTCATCTCCATCCGGTGAGGGTGCTTCAAACACAAATCACACAAAATTATGTTGCCTTATGCCAAACTGTTATTGAACTTTCCGCAATGAACAAGAAAATTTTAGAAACGGCACCCTCGAGGTGTTGATGGTATTCTGATCTTACAAAATCAGTACTTCGCGATATGAATGAATGTGCCATATCCTGGGCAACCCTATTGAAATTGCCCTATGTTTCTAGTATATTCGGTGCATTGTTAGTATAACATGGATTTTCCTTTCAAAATTGAATATCAGCAATGTAAAAACATCCAACACATGGATCTGCAATACCTGTTATGTGATCCAGGATAAGACATAATGGTTTACAGTTTGCAGCATGCATTCTGGGTTGCATATGCGACCCAAACTCGCAATTAATGCAGAAACTAGGGACATTAAAAATTTGAAATTACCGTTAACTATATAACGATGGGAATCCTGGAATGCAAAGTATATGCTAATGAGATCAACACTCGAATTGTCAAACAGGCGGGGTAGCTTATTATCAGGGGAGCAACCAGAATTTCTTTCTTTTGTCAAACTATCAATTACATCCGATTTACGTTCGAATGCACAAATTATATCCGTTTTGCAACCAATTGCTCAACATTGAGTTCAAAATCTGAAATTTGCGTCTTTCAAATGCGTGCATATACAAGTCGACATTTAATCACAACAAAATCGCAATTGGCGCCAACTGGATCTGCCAAAATACGTTCAAGCATCCCCAAAGCTGAAAACCAATAAAATAGTAGAGGAATCCAAGAACGAGAACGTGCAGTGCAAAATGCACATTGCCGAGTAGTGCTGCAGCGCGCCCCAAAAGCAATGGAAACTTGTCAGACCGCTTCGCAGTCTTCCACATCACGCCATTACCACTTGGAAAAAAAAGCCAAGTAACGCGTGTTCAAATGCGAACAAAATTTACGGGTTTGGGTCATTTTCCTGTTTTTAGCGTGCACAGCACTGATGATACATACGTGCTCGCAAAAAGTGATATTTGGTCCTTTTTTCCTAATTTAATAGGGATATGTAGAGATTTGTGGAAGCTGACGAAAAGCATCAACGAGCGTTTGACTTTTAAATTGAACTTGGTGATCGCCATGCACAGGAACAGGCCAAAATCAATACGGATAAATGAGAGCAATTAACACCTGTACAAAACGGTGCTTTGCGATGCCTTGGCATTAATTGATGCAATGATCCCTGCTTTATGCCATCGCCATCGCAATGGCGGCGACATTTCGGGTAAAATTGCATCGCAGTTAGCACCTGAAACATGGGTCCTTCTGATGGTGCAATTTGGCAAAAGTTGGCAACGCTGCTCTCACTTGCCGGTGGAGGAACGAGCCTGTCGGCTTCGTCGTCGGACTCCACGTCGTCCTCTTCCAGCTCCGGCTCCGGCTCCTCTTTCTCGACCACGAGGGCCACGTAGCACGACTTGGCGGCAGTGCATGTGGCCACGATGCCTGCGCACCGTCTGAACAGGTCCAGCGGGTCCACGACTTCGCCGGAGGCCACGGCCGCGGACAGGTCCTCAATCTGAGCTCGATTGGAGGCCTCGCGCTCCCGGGCGCATTTCCGGAGCTTCGCGGCCTCCTCCTGTGTGTGAATTTTCGTTGATGTTGAAAACATTGCCGTTGAAATTATCTATTCTATCTGCGAGAATCAAGAGCTTTTTGCAATTGAAATTCACGCGTAGGGACTTTTGATCTTCATTTTAATGCTCCCTTCATCGCGGATTCTTCGTAGTACGAGGGATGGACATAATTCTGACGGACACGTTTCTGCGGGACACATGTTGAGGGGGAATTGTTTCACTGTACGAAGGAACACTTTGACTGGTAGGTTATTTGTGTCTCCGTGCTGCGGATTGCGGGGATGCACATATTTCACTGATGAAAAATGTCCAGGGAGATCCCCATGACAGCATCGCAAAATCGAAGCGAATCAGCATGCTGCAGATTGGTGGACTTCTACTGTGCTCCGTGCTTCTCGGGCAGGTGCTCAGACGGCATTTCTGGGCCGTGGTTTGCAGATGGGCTATGATTTGCCTCACGAAATTTCCCACAGTCGAAATGTCCTTCTCTGGTAGCACAAAGCAGTGCCTCAAAAACACGCACGAAAATCAGAGAATGCGAGGAAAAGAGGGCGCAATAGGCTGTGACATTACAGCATCTTGAAGCTCTTCTTTGACAGCGTGCCTTCTCTCCTTCAAGACCTGGCCTTCAATTTGGGCGCTTTGCACGTGCCTGCGGCGAAGGAAATAAATTTCAGCACACAAGCTTGGAAGCAACCGCCAGCCAAGATTGACGCTTGCAGCTCCCACACAATGCCATCCTGCCGCTGTAGATATTTAGGACCAAAATAATGGCATGAAAACCTCGGGGTGGCGCAACATGATGTTGTGCAAAAGATGCCTCCCCGCTGTCTTTCCTTCGAAGCCCCGGGCAACATCCATTGCCTTCGAATTCTCACAACACAATCATGGCGATGCGAATATGTTGAATCGAATCTTGTTGAATTCATGCTGTTCAACAGCCTAGCTCTCTTCGACACATCTAACCAATCAACAATTACTGTGCCGGCTCCCTGTTCCATGTGTCGCTCGAGCGGAGCTGCGTCAATGGCTTTTGACCGAATCCCCAGGTGCTTCATCATTGCCATCCATAATCTATTCGTTCGTGTTTTATCAGGAGAAGCCGACAAACTGCTTTAAATTGCTACCGATATTGACTTCGATCTGATTAAATTGGTCGTTCCACAGAGTTCCTGTCTGTGTCGAAACCGTGCTTAACAGATACAGTCGTGCGTCTGATTTATTTGGGTTGTTTATGCGTTTAATTGACCACGCATTCGCAGCATTCGTGTGACCCGTGTTGCAAAAGAGGCCGCATCGCGCTTACTCAACCAATCTGGCTCAATCCACATCCCGACATCTGTATTAGTTTATTCGACCAGCAGAATTCAAACACGCTTGCTTTGTTTCTGTTACATTTTCAGCCACCGTTGGAGGCCCTCCTTTCATCACGTCACGTCCGCCTTGTTGCCAACTATTGCATTGTCGAAAACTGGCTCCAACAACACAGTTACGACAGCGTTTCAGACTTGAAACTCACAATCGGGCCTCATTCAGCACTTTCCGAACAAGGCCAAAAATTTTGAAATGCGAAAAGCATAATGAAAAAACTGTGGAAATTTTGGCCGGACTTGGCGCCCTCCACAGAGCGCCTCCCCACACGCGCCACACCAATTGCCATAACCTCTTCCGCTTCGCGCCGCACGCCACCTGTTTATCATTAAATAATATGACACATATATTGATCGCGCCGCGCCACCTGTTTATGTTTATATTGACGCCATTAAGTATTGTGACACACATATTGACCGCCAGCCCCAACGCCTCAGCGGGGGCGCCCGCTTCTGGCCCCGCCGCTCCGATGCATATCGTTACGCGCTTTTCGCGCATCAATATCGCGCCGCGACCCGCCGCCCGCACCGCAGCAGCCACAGGCCCAGGTACTCCACGGGGTCCCTCGGCCGGACGGACGCGACCACTGCGCAACCCCGGCTCAGTGTCTCGCCCACGCTGTCCCTCAGATACTCCGAGTCCATGGCGCCTGCCCAAGAACATATGAAGAGACACCAAGAACCCCACGTCCGCTTCCGTCACTTCCGTCCTTTGACGCCACCGACCGCCGGAAGCAGAAAAAACGCTGCTTTTGTTTTTCCCAGGAATTTTTTTAGAACGAAGTGATTTCAAAAAACCGTTTTCCATAATGAAGATAACACATAGGCATCCCGCAGCCCCCTCCCTTTCTTCCGCCGCCTCTGACTGCCCCAAACATCAGAAGCACAAAGAGGGCCACTCTCCTTACGGCCAGCAACGTTTTCCGGGAAAGAAAATGTCCTGACGAAAATAGCGTTTTCATATTGTTTTTGCTCCCGTCAAAAAATCGGGTTTGGCTCAAAGAACTCCCGTTCCCTTGGGGCCAGCAACGTTTGTAACCAAAACGTTCATTGTCCGAGAGCAGACCGTTTTTACGGTGTTTTCTTATTCCCGTTTGAACCCGGGATTCGAATAAAAACTGGGCGGCGGGGGTGGGCCTATTTGTCGGACCGGGCGGCAACCATCCGCGGGCCCTCTCGCACGGGGGGGGGGAGCCGGGCGCGGGCGCCGCGCGGCGGGCTGGGGACCGTCGGCCGGCCCTTGGCCTGAGCGCCTGGCAGGATGACCACTCGCAGCAGCCTGCAGCGCGGCACCACCCAGCAGCACTTCGAGGGGCCGGTGCGCCGGTGGAAGCGGCGTTGGGTGTGCGCAGGGGACCCCTCGGGCGCCCAGGCCAAGAAGCGCATCATGCTCCTCAAATGGATGCCCACCGGTGAGCGCCGGGATCGGATTCGGCCGCGCGGCCTGATCGGCGGCCCTCGATTCGCGGCGGGGTGGTCCGATTTGACGGTGTTTGATGGTTGGCTCCGTGGCGTGCGGCAGAGGAGAGGGCGGAGGCGCGGCCGGAGGGGCGCCCTCGACTGGTGCCGGTGGGTTCCCGATCGACCTTTGATTTTTGATTGTTTGCGTTTTGTTTTCTTGCGTAAAGGGGCGCGAAAGGGCGGGTGCCCGCGGGGAGATGCGGCCGGCGCGCCGGACGTCGATTGTCCCTGGCGTCATGCGCGCGATCGGGGGGCGAACGACGCCCCGGTATCGGCTCTTGGCTCTTGGGCCGGCTTTTGTGTATCAAGACGTTACCACCATGCACTGAGTCCGTTCAGGCCCGGGAGAAGCGAGGCTGCTACATCGGGCGCGTGGCGGGCTGTGGAACAGCCCAAGCACGGATTGTCCAGAAGCCCAAAATGCCAGGGCCAGCGGCTTTTGTGTATGAAAATTGGGGTATGACGTCTGTGGGCATTCGCCCACGCGGGCGGATCACGGCTCGCTCGGTGCTGGCCGGGCTAGGTGGGGATCAATCGGGGCTTTGGCGTTCGGGCGTCCGGCGGTCTGGGGCTCCGGGGGGGCGGCCATCGGTGGGGATCAGCGACTGGGGAGCGCTGTGTGTTTACCAAGTTGTTACAGTCATGCATTAAGCACATTCAGGCCCGGAAGCAACGAGGCCGTATTGGGCACGTGGTGGGCTGCAGAGCAGCCCTGGCATTGTCTGTCCAGAAACACAACAAGCCAGGTCCAGCAACATTGTGGGCACGAGTCCCGTGTGTGTATGGATGGGTGGGGGGAGAGCTGTGAAGTGGGAGGAGCCCAGCCTTGCACGCGGAGCTGCAGAGATCGTCACATCGCCATGTCGTGAATGCAACATGCTGTGGCAAGCTCCTCCTGAGCGGGGACTGCGATTGGGAGTTTTGTGCCTTGCCTGTTGCGGAAGATAATGGGGCCTGGCATCGAAGTGCTGCCGGGTTTGGTTGAAATAGTGCATCTGCAATGGAAGCAGTACGCTGCTCCCCAAATCCAAACCGGCAAAGTAAGCCTGGAGCTGCAGCGAGAAGACTGCATTGTTGAAGTATTGCCGTGCAGGGCAACACCCTCCACAGTGTGTAAGCTCCTTCATGCTCATGCGGCTCTTTGGCCACTCCAGAAATTTTCTTCCTGCTGCACTTGGGAGAGGTCGAGCCATCTTTGTACGGTTGTCAAGGGTCTGCAAAGACCTTGCCCAAGGGGGGTGATCTGCCTTGAATTGACTTTATCCTTTTCTGTTTCTTTTTGAGACTCATTTCAACAACATTTATGGTCACTGCTTGTGCCTGACATTGCTGCATTCTTGGATGCTATCGGCACTGATATGCTGATGTCAGCATGGTGCATGGCCAATGCACTGTCTGCCACAGGCCTGACACAGCTCTTGTCATGCTGCAGCTGGGAAAATTGAAGGAGTTGCAAGCCAAGGGCCACAGACCCGCAGCATCCAATTCCTCACAGGAGCAGCAACAACAGGTACTTACTTGAGGCAAGCCGAGTCCTGTGGGTATTGCTTTGTGGCTGTTCTGTTGATCAGATTGCTTGGAGGCCCCACACCAAGTGGCATCATGACTCGATCTCGTGCCAGCACATCTCTGATGTGTCTGTGAGCTTGCTGAAGAGTGCATCGCCTACTGCCAGATGCGCATTTTGCCCTGCTGCTGTTCGGCAGCGCCTCACACATCACACAAAGTTAGCGTGAGACTGCTTCTTGTGAAGATGTGCAGGGTCTCGCAGCTTAATCCTGTTTCAGTGGAATAGCAGCATTTATTTGAGGAAACCAAACTCGGCCACATGCACTATCATTGGATGGGGTCCTCAGAGTGAGAGGAAACGAATGAGATCTGTAGCAACGACTGAGGTCTACCTACAGTTTGGTATTCCACGTGTAACGAGGAATTGTTGTCATTTATCGTCAGGCATCTATTGGCTGTAGAACCGTGCCAGGGCCATGCCTTACCACATTGTGGCAACTGGAAAGAAAGCATTAACTAACAGTACATAGATGCTACAAGTAATGACTTACAGTATGCTACTACTAATTGACTGCTGATGGAATACTACATCCTCTTTATCAGTACAGATTAACTATGCTCGAAAAAGAGTCAAGCAAAGAGTTGGCAATACCTTTGGTTTGACTTCTAGGGTGGTGTCTCAGGCTGCTAATGAGGACAAGGCTGTCTCTGGGCCTGATGTCATCATGGAGGCCACTGGAGATAGCCCTCAAGACTCACGAGAGGAGGAGACCATTCCTGGCACACCCATCCCTGATGGAAGTGAACCTTGCGATGGTGTGCAGGCAGACGTTGTCGAGCATCGCCCAGAGAGCATTGGCAGAGGCAACTCAGAAGATGCATCAGACAAGGTGAACAGCTCTCATGAAATAGCCAATGGCGATGATGAACGACTGTGCAGAGATGATGGTGGACAGGGCAAGAGGGAAAGTGAGGCGACCGCTGACAGCGAATCAGAGCAGAGCAGGAATGACGAAGATGCTGAAGAGCAGATGCTGGATGCAGAATTCCAGGACAAGGGATCTGAAGAGGATGGGGTAGGTATTGTTCCTGCTGTGGGCAATGCAGTCAGCCCCAAAGCTGAGCAGAGTGTGGAAAAGAGCGAGTCCCGAAGCACGGCAGCAGCCATCAGCGATGCAGAAATAGAGGGTGGAAGTAGCGGATCCGGTTCGCAGCAGATTGGTGCAGATTCTCACCACACTGCAGCTGACAGTGAGCCACAGTCGTCTGCCTCATTTGACAAAGCTGAGTCCATGGATGTGGGGCGGAGCACAGTGTCATCCTCGTCTGGAGATGTGAGCAGCCCGAGTGAATCTGTGGGCAACGAACAGGGCACTGCCAGTGGTTACGATGATGGCGGGCCAGAGTTCCAGCAAGAGGGCAGTGCCGATGATGACCTTGATGTTGAGGTTGTTGATGTGAATGCTGCAGACGACCCGGTGCCCTGGGCCAGCACCTTGAGCCCAGATCCTGGTGAAGGTGGCTGTCCTGCTGACACAATGGATCGTGAGGGTGACCATGCAGATTGTATGCCAGAATTTGTCGATGAGGTGAACAATGAAATGCAGGATGAGCTCAATGATGGCCCCTTGCCCGTGGCAGCCATGGAGTACACGACCTCTGGTGGTGTGCTGCAGAGCGGAGCTGTGGATGCCAATGCAAAGGACACTGAATCCAGGGAGCGCATGAAAGGGCATGGATCTGATGGTGCTGCCTGGGCTGCTTCTGTAAGCGATCCCAGCAAGTCTTTGGCAGAAGAGTTGGGAGAAGCGGCAGACTGCACGCCGCCAGGATGCCATAGATATCTTGATGACAATATGCAGCAGGGGGTCGCAACAACTGAGCAAATGGAAAGTTTCAGAGGTGAGCAGATGGGTGACGAGGCAATGAATGACGGGTCAAGTGATGTTTTCAAGAAGGTAGAAATGGGTAGGAAAGAGCAGGGGGCTCCTGGCATTGGGGAAGTCGATTTGTCAGCTGATGAGCTTGTGTTTGATGAAGAATATCCAGAAGGGTCAGATGGTGGGCGTCCAGAGCCACAACTGGCGGTCTTTGGGGAGCAGCTGCATGGCATTGATCAAGCGGACCTGCAGCCATCAGTTCAGAGTGGTGAAGGAATGCCCTCAATCCAAGACAATGGTGGCACCGATCCCTACCTTGAGTTGCCCCTCCCCGAGTCTGAAAATTACCGTACGATGGCAGGCAATCAGAGTGCAGGGCCTCTATTGGGCCCACACATTCCTGATCCCAAGTCAAGCAGCCAGCCGTTTGACAGAGGCGTGGAGCCTGGACAACTGGAAGATGGCCAGGAACCCTGACAATTAGCAGGAAGCCTTGCTGGCAGGGGTTGGGGGTGGGTTAGGGGGGAAGGAGAAAGCAGAGCAAAGTTAGTTTCCCAGCAACAGACACCACTGCAGGATATCCTGGCAGTGGTCAGTAGCTGCATTCTTTTTAGGGTGGAACTTTAGCCACATTGCAGGCTTGAATCTTGCATGATTGGGAGGCAGTCTGCATGCACAGTATGGATGGCTGCTCCGTATTGTCAGATAGGCCTCAATGAGAGTGTCATAGTCAGAAATGGAAGTCTGCCACGCACACTGATGGACTAGGCGGTCTGTTGATTGTGGAGGCGGTGGATAGGGAAAAGGCTGGGAAAGTGCTCAGTGCTGCATTCACAACCAGCTTGTTTCTTTTGGTCGCACCCTGCTGGTTTTATTAGTATCTTCTGCCATTCCTCTGCGATCTGCATGCCAAGCCCATGCTGTGCACTTGGTTTATAGGTGCAAGGCAAAAGTGCGGAATTTTGAGTTTAATATGCGAATCGAGAAAGGAGGCATTCTGATTTTTATTAACTTAGCGGAACAATCGAAGCAGCAGTGGTAATTTAGCAGTGCTAAATTGTGGTGGCCTCGTGTACGACGCTTCGCTATGACCCATTAATCAGTGATGAATTGATCAGTGATTAATAATCACCGGGCGATGTACTGGCACGTTAAAGCGCCCTGGAAAACGCCAGAAGCCGATTAGCGATGTTGCTCCATCGTCCCTTGTCCAGGACCAGCACCACCTTCATAGAAACCCACAGGGAGCAAGGCATATACGCAAGGCACGGGTTCCTTTTGCGTGGACTCGTGCCTGACATCGCCCTGCATGCACAAAAAAGCAGTGCTCGCCAGTTAAGGCAAATGGTTCACCTGCCAACCATGTGTACGTGCGGGTGACTGCCTTGACTTCTTAAGTCAAGGCACCCACCCACACGTACACACGCACACATCGGTTGCAACCTGTCAATCATCTGCATGGCAGATTCCCGCCATTTTGTCCCTTTCAAGCCATTGTCATCAATTGCTGGCATCGTTGATGAAAGGTGGCTCGCCAGTGTCTGCCCGCCCCCTTCGAACGCGTCACGTGCATGGATTGACATGATTTGTTGAAAAATGACAAAATCTCTCCCTTGTCCAGAACGCAATGTCGTTATGAATGAATGAATCAGTCAGTCAGTTTCAATCAATCAATCAATCAGTCAGTCAGTCAGTCAGTCAGCCAGTCAGTCAGTCAGTCAGTCAGTCAGTCAGTCGGACAGTCAATCAGTCAATCAGTCAATCAGTCAACCAGTCAATCAGTCAACCAGTCAATCAATCAATCAATCTCAATCAATCAGCCGAATCATCCATCTATCGGTCCCTCCCTCCCTCCATCCGTCAGTCCATCCATCAATCCATCCATAAGTCCATCCATCCATCAATCTGCGGGCATCATGTCCATGGCCTCGACCAGTCCCAGCTCGTGTCAAGCAGGAAATGCAACCCATTCGTGGAACCGCTGGTTTCGCTTACTCTATTGTCGTCATTGGCACGTCACGGCTTGCACCCGAAACGAAAAAGCCATACAATGAATGTCAGTCAAGCAGCGCAACGTACATGTATACGTATACGTACGCTTTTACGTAAAATCCCACCACACCACTGATGCTCTTGCGTGGAGTCGAATATGCAAGGCTTCATGATGACGTATTCGCTGCTGCGGTGGCCATAAGCGATGACGCCATGGAATGGGCAGGCGCGGATACCAACCGATTAAACTACATGTCATTGAGGCTGCCATTGTGCGAAATTGCGCGGTAGTTTCTACGTAATTTTAGGCCAAGAAAAATAGTGAATAATGCGCGTATTTTTCCGTACTATTGTGTTTAGCCGTATCAGCATTCCCCAGGCGCGCAGGGCGTCCCAAATGCATCGAAAGGCGGCTGGCGTCCTAAAGAAGGACAGCATGTTCTCGGCGGCATTCATCAATCGCCAATATGTATTGGCAGGTGTATATTGACGGGATGGCCCGAGCACTAGACCTGCCTGTATAGGGAGGTCTAGTCCTTGCGGGCCGCCAGAACGAGGAATAAGTCCGAGTTGTTCTGTCAGCGCGGCAGCCACGCGCAATAACATTCCCATATTGATTGGGCCTATTGTGGTAGCGCTGATCAGCGCTATCGCAATAGGCGTTTCAACATGAGTTTCACCATGATGAGGGCGCACCACCACGGGAAGAAACAGGAGTCTCGGATGCATTTCCGCCCAAGATTAACTGTCGTCTGTGAGTTTGGGGCGTTTTTTCTCCATCGTACCTGTACCAGTTTTCCATGAAATTTCACCCAAAGTTTTCTTGTGTGTTTGGAGTAAACTCTCAAAATTGCAAGTCAATCCATTAGGTATTGAGGTTTTGGCAGTACTTTGTGTCAAGGGTCCGTTTGCCTTGTAAACGTTGATATCTGGGTTGAAGAATGACCAAAATTTACCTTTCGTTTGACACTCAAAGGGGTCGTGTCTCACTGTTTCTAGTTGAAAACTGGTAGTTAGGTGTTTTGGCACCCAATGATTTGAACTTGTTTTGTAATTTCAATGCGTTCTTGTAACGAATTTTGTATTTCAAATAAACAACAATTAACTTGAACTGAGGAAGAACAATGTATACTCTTTGTTCCAAAGTGTAGTGTATTTGCAAATACAATTGCTAGCATTCGATCATAAATGCGTAATACTCGTTTATTCTATTACTATGTACACGATGTTATTACGTACTTGAGAAATTATCGAATAATCAATAGCAGAAACTTCTGCATGTTCGACGGAATCGCCGATGTCGCGCTGTGGTGCCATCGCGGCGTTGGAGGCCGAAGTAAGTTGTGCACTGCGAAATGCGAAGTAAAGTTCACCGTGAACAACCGTATACATATATATTGTGTCCTCATAGGCACGCAGAATTCCGTATAGATACAGAATTATTACGTTGATTGTGAATGACATCGAAGTTAGCATCCCCACGATTCGTTTTCTAGTAGTGTACTGAATGTACATAAATTCAGTACATCAGTAGAAAGGGAAATGCGGTGACACTAGCTGAAATGCCATTTATATTTTTAACATTTGTTCAATACCATCACAATCACTGGGGCGGCGCCCCTTAGTGTCAAAATGGAATCGCAGTTGGCATCGCGAAAAATGTTTTAGGCTGGCAAAAACATGTATATCAGGTACGTGAGGGCCTCGTTACCATCACGGTGCTGCTAGGAGAGTAATAGTTTCGATGGAGTTGGTCGTACTGGTGTTACCGCCTAGGCAGAGTCAACCCGATGTGAACACACCCGATGTCCTCAATTAGTGTCGTATCTAGGTAACCGCATTTCTGAATTTCCAAACGCCTTTCTCTGGATCACCAATGGCTGGCAATCTTTTTGAAAATTGAAGTATCGCCGTGGGCTGAGCGTTCGTGCTGCACAAAATGGTGTCACTGAAAACATCGCCGAAACATCGTATTTCTCAAAGCAAACTGTCATCCGATTGCTTCTTCCCTTCTACGCATGTATGGCTACTTGATGGGCTGTGGGGTGAACCGCTAAGGGGTGGCGCAGCCAGTGGGATGTCCTTGCGTACTCCCAGGCAAATCCCTGTCCATGGCGAGGCGATAGATATCGCCGTGTTGGATAGTTGCAAGCTCGGCACACGCATATCCAGATTATGGACATGTTTTCCAGATGCCCTGGACATTGAGTAGAGGATATGGACGCCATATTCTGGATTCCATAATGTGGTGTGCATATCTTATTTTCGATGTCCAGGCCGTTGGGCGTTTTGCCGACGTCAGCCAGAGGGCTGCCGCCAACTCTATTTCCATCCTGCACACCTGTGAGCACACATTTTAACGTCATAAGGACTTCACAATAGTTTTAGTTGTTTTCTGATTTTTAATTCGATTTTCCAAATTTTCATTGATTTCTATTTCTGTTGCTTAGTATTGTTGAGAAATAGTTTACCTGTTTCCCTCGACGCGCCGTCGCTCGTCTTGCGTCAGCAAGAGAGCGGCCCTCTCACTGTCCCATAGGTCACGTGGTCCGCCCCTCCCCCACACGGCCGGCCGCCCCGCCCTTCCCTGGGCGTTATCGCAGCTCCCCGTCCCCGCCGCGAAACCCGGCCCGGCAAACTCGGCGCGCTCCGCCGTCGATCAAAGCGGTGGCCGCCTCAGCGCACGGCGTCAAACTCCCAGCCTCCCTGCCGGGCGAACGCCTGCCACTTTCAGGCTTCTAGCCTTCACAAGCGGGGAGGCATGGCGCCAGGACGCCTGCAGCTCTGGGCGGCCCTCCTCGCCGCGGCTGCTCTGATTGCACCGGCTCGAGCAGTGACCAGTGACGCTCAGGAGATCCTGGACGGTGGGGTCGCAGCTGGGTGTCCGCTTGTGTCCGCCTCTGTGTTGGGTGGGAGGGTGCTTAGGGGATTGGGCTGCCCTCTTCCTGCCCCTGGTCCTGGTCGTTGGTAGACCAGTGGGACGCCCCACCAGATGTACCCGGTTTGACCCCCGGTCGGGCGTCCTCTTTGCCATGCGGGCTGGAACGCTCTGGCAAGCGGCAGCGCTTCGAAGGCGCTTGGCTCGGGGTAGTAGAGGCGCAGGACCGCTTTGGTTTCTGGCCAAGAGCGGCAGTGGGAGATGCTGAAAGAGTTGGCGCGGGTGCCGGTGTGAGCATCGCGTAGCGAGGGGGAGTGCGCCCTCCCAAAATAGAAACCTGGAGATTGACGGCGCCGCTCTTTTGGCTGACATGCCGGACGCGGCGCGGAAAGTGGCTGGAATGGCCGCAACCGGCGCTTCCGTTTCCGCTTTGGGCCGCGAGTGGTTGGGAGTGTCCACCAGATGGAGCGGCATTTTGGCGATGCTAGCTCTGGTACCATTTGACGCCTGTCAATAGGTTGATGGGCATCGACGCTGGAAGGGCCTATGCTAGGTAGTTTGTTGCCCACTTGGTAGCGTTGGCACAGTGACGAGCCTTAGGTTAGGC